AACTTCTCTCTCTATTGTTTGAAATTGATAGGATTTCATTTTTTTTCTTTAAATTTTGGAAATATGTAGGATTTCTGGAATCGATCACTCTCTATAATTTGGGACCTTACCATGAGTGGATTGGAGGTGACTGCTTATACCTCCCGATTTAATGACCTCGCAAACCTTTGCTCGAGAATGGTGAACCTAGAATACAAAGAGACTGAAAGGTACATCTGGCGATAAGATTTACCAGTTTAGGGTTCGCTTATTGCGTCCAGACCCACTGCTTTTGATAGTGCTAAGAAATTGGCCTATAATTTGACCGAGCAGTGTATCCGTCAGGGTACCATGAACCCACAATTGAAAAGAACCAGACTGGGAGTACAAAAAGGAAGTTTCATGGCAAGTTAAAGGGGAACTTCAAACATCGCAAAACCAATCTAGAACCTGTGGCTATCTACGCCACAATCACAAACACTCCCACCACATCAAAGCTCTGCTCTGGGAATTTACCCCCCCCCCCCCAAATACCAAGTGTAGTTTTCCACCATGTCGGAAATTGCATGGTCTGAAGCATCTGTGACTTGAGAGGTCACACCTCTAAGGTTTATAGAAAGACCCAAACAACACAGCCTCAGTCCCTATTGCAGGAGGAAGCTAAAATTGCTTTGAATGCAATCAACCAGTGCATTTTAAGAAAAACTTCCTGAACTAAAGAATCAGGGTGGCCAAAGAAGAACATTTATGATAGGTGTTGGAGATACTCACTAGGAACCAACTGTGGTCACTAATATGTTTCCTATAAAAATATTTATGCTTCAATATTATTTGATACTTGTACCGATAAAAGCTTTATTTCTCATAAGCTTAGAAGCATGATTAACCATAAATCATGCAAACTTAACGAAGCTTACACGGTAGTAGTAGCAAATGGCCAGTTAGAAATCACCTTAGAAATACTCACCAATTGCATTCTCACCTGAAATAACCATGTTTTTCACGTCAACCTAATACTTATGACCATTGGAAGTTTCGATGTGATCCTCAGAATGGATTGGTTATCACTTCATCGAGTAGAGATTTTATGTTGCGAAAAAGTTGTCCAAATACCTTTACCCAACAACAAATCTCTCATGATTTATGAAGATAAATCAACAAATATAAAGGATCTACCTAGAGTACTTCATCGAGTAAAGATTTTATGTTGGAAGTTTCGATGTGATCCTCAAAAAGGTGTTTGTAGAAGAGATACTTTGCTTTCTTGGCCCACGAGGTGGATATGCAAGGAAAGGGTAAGGAAATCAAAGACATACCGAAAGTGTGAGATTACTTGGACGTATTTCTAGAGGATCTGCCTGGAGTACCTCCAGTTAGACAAGTCAAAGTTCAAATCGGCTTAATCTCGGGTGCAGCACCAGTGGCAAGATCCCCTTCTCGTATGGATCCCTTGGAATGGAAAGAACTATCCAATCAAATCCAAGAACTTCTTTCCAAAGGCTTTATCCATGAAACCTTTTCTCCATGGGGAGCCCCGATATGGTTTGTCAAAAAGAAGGATGGATCGTTTAGGATGTGCATCAACTATCGAGAGTCGGGTAAACTCACCATCAAGAGCCGATATTTACTCCTGAGGATCAGTGACCTGTTCTTCCCACTACAAGTATCCTGCTACTACTCAAAGATAGATCTAAGATCTGGATATCATCAAGTTAGACTTCATGAATCAGACATTCCAAATATGGCATTCAGGACTCGGTATAGTTACCACGAGTTTCTGGTTTTGCCATTTGGCCTAACTAACAACGCCAACCAAGTACACCAATTCCTAGGGATTACAGGCTATTATCGGAGATTCATTGAAAATTTCTCCAAAATAGCCAAGCTTCTCACTGCTCTAACCCAGAAGGACAAGAAGTTCGATTAGGGAGACATAAAAGTGTCCGTCTTCTAGAAATTGAAACAATTGTTGTGGAGTGCACCAATTTTTCCTCTTCCGGAAGGAACATAAAACTTTGCAGTATTCTGCGATGCCTCTCACCAAGGGTTTGAATGAGTAATGATGCTAAAAAATAAAGTTATTGCATACGCATCCAGACACCTTACTCCAAACAAGACAAACTACATTACCCATGACTTAGAGTTGAGAGTTGTAGTGCTCACCTTAAAGATTTAGAGGCACTGCCTATACGAGATGAAGTGTTTTTTTGGTCACTGACCACAAAAGCATCCAACACGTCTTTGACTAAAAGGAGCTCAACATGAGACAACGAATGTGTGTCGAATTGCTAAATGATTACGAATGCGAAATTCGTTATCATCCTGGTAAAACAAATTTCATAGCAGATGCTTTAAGCAGGAAAAAGTGAGAAAATCCACTTTGTGTAAAAGCTATAACCCAAACCATCCTCTCAAAACCGAGAATATCGTAGAGGAGAACCTGCGAGGTATCTACTAACAGTTCGGCCTCAAGGAAGACGGAACATGATATTTGATGAACTGGATTTAGACCCTAAAGTTTGGTGAAGTCAGGAGTTTAGTTTTAAATACAACTCATAAGTCGAGATATTCAACACATCCTGAAACATATAAGATGTATCTCAATCTCAATAAGTTTTATTGGTGGCCCAACATGAAGGTAGAGATTACCACATATATCAGTAAGTGCTTAACTTGCTCAAAAGTCAAAGCAAAGTACCAAAAGTCATCCAGTCTACTCCAACAACCGTTAATCCTAGAATGGAAGTGGGAACAAATAACCATGGACTTCATAATGAAGTTTCCAAGAACTTCAAGCGATTATGACACCATTGGGGTAGTGGTTGACCATTAAACCAATTTTTTCCACTTCCTAGCCATAAAAGAAATTGACAAGATGGAGAAACTCACCAGGACCTATCTCAAATAAAGAGTCAAATTGCATGGTGTGGCTATATCTATTATCTCAAAGCGAGATAGCAGATTCACTTCTAGATTTTAGCAGTCATTGCAGAGGTCCCTAGGAACCAAACTAGATATGAGAACTACATATCATCCTTAAGCAGGTGGACATAGTGAAAAGAATGATATAAACTCTAGAAGACATGCTCCACGCTTTTGTGATAGAATTTGATAATTCATAGGGATACTTACTTACTGCTAGTTGAGTTTTTCATATAACAATAGTTATCACACTAGCATAAAGGTCTCTTCATCTGAGGCCTTGTATGGATGTAGATGTCGGTCTCCGGTATACTTGGCATAAGTTGCAGATACTCAATTAGCTAAAAATCATGTGGGAGATACCCTACTTACCAATCCCGAGATCATTCATGAAACAATAGAGAAGATCGTTCAGATAAAGGAACGATTGAAGGCAGCACGTTGTTGTCAGAAAAGCTACGATGACACAAGACACAAACCATTAGAATTCAAAGTAGGAGACTGTGTCCTACTAAAGGTCGTAGTATGGAAATGTGTCATTTGATTTGAAAAACAAAGTAAACTAAACCCCTGATATATCGGACCTTTTGAAATCCTGGAAAGGGCTCAAGTTACCTCAAGAACTCAGTAAAGTTCACGATACCTTCCACATGTGTAATCTCAAAAAGTGTCTCTATAGTGAGAACCTTGTCTTTCCTCTCGATGAGATCTAGTTCAACACAAAACTTCAGTTTGTGGGGGAACCGGTGGAGATCATGGATCGAGAAATCAAAAGCCTCACATAAAGCCACATTCCCATAGTAAAAGTCTGATGGAACTCTCGTAGAGGGCCAGAGTTTACTTGGGAACATGAGGACCAAATGAAACAAAAGTATCCACAACTGTTCAATGGTGCTCCCTCCACTAGTGGAATGAAATGATAGTGGAATAAAATAGTCTAGAACATAATAATTTTAGGATGAAATTCCCTTAACGGGGAGGTAATGTGACATCCCGAAATTTAGGTCAAAGTCTGTGGACGGTCAATTCATAGTAAATCTCTTTGTAATTTAACTCATTGAGTTTTAGTGCATCTTCTGTAAAATAAATGAATTCATTACAACTATTTCAAGATACTTCCAAATATGTAAATTGTAAAACGAATCAAACAACTCAAACTACAACCATAGTTAATGCATCTGAAAAACTGAAATTTCATATTAAGTAGTTGTGAGCAAAGCTAACATTCTAGTCTCGTAGTACACATTTTCCTGTTTCCGGAAATATAAATACCATCCAAAGCGCAGTTTGTATGCAAAAAGTACAACAGTTTTAAGAATCTAAACCGGTATATTACTTATTTTCTTAAAATTGCTAAAACCGCTTCTATTCGTTGTGGAACCTGCACACCTCAGATGGAAATTCCGAAAGCAATTTTGGACATAGACACACAAATTAATCCGTTTGGAAAAATTAAACGTTTTTGAACTAAACTCTATCATTCACTATTTTCAGAAGAATATTTAAAATCGGGATGACACACAAATCGAGAAAAACTGTTTTGTAACATTTTAAATGTAGAAGTGTGACATTACCCATTTTGGTACCATAATTTAAACATTTTGACTCAAATATTAAACCATGTATTATTTCTTAAAATACATAAATAATTTAGAGAAATACACCAATACATACAAAATCCGATACAACCCATAATTGCTAGATGACAATGACATGGAATTGGTAATGACTGGAATTGGTAAAGTGCAATGTAGGATGGTTGGTAATGATGTGGAATTGGTAAAGTGCAATGTAGGATGAGTGTCACCCGGTGACCCCTTTAAATCTTAACAAATGACCTTTTAAAACATAAAAACACAAGTACATGCCTATCAAATGCAAATATAGTTACGATGGACCATTTAAACCAATATACTAATGTACTAAAGTTTGTTGCTTATCTAAAAGGCTACCAACCATATACACAATCCATACATCCATACCACTCAATAAATAATATACACAAATATATATTAAATTAGTTCAACACATGGCTTGCAAGTTTGATACAAAGTACAACAATTATATAGTTAATTGACAGTAAAAAAAACATAACATTTCTTCCAAATTCAATTTACCCAAGTTTACACACACAAAGGAAACGTGTTAGAAACTCTTTTCTCAATTTAAGCTGTCAGTGAAACACCAAAAGACCAGCAACCCGTCTACTTTCTTCTTCTTCTTCATCGTGCCAGCCAAGAACACCTCCAGCGGAGGTGTTGTGCTTGTGTATTTAGCAAAATCAATGGGACCGCAGCCCATTTTTTGCTTCCTTCTTTTCTGAATTGTTCTTTCTTCTTCTCTTTCTATGAATATCAATCGGACCACGCCTAAACCAACCATCACCTGCCATCCTTGACTCCACCTCCATCCTTCCCTCTTCCCCTGTCAAACATCAAACCAAAAGCCCCCTTTCTCTTCAACATTGCTGTTCGGGGGGGAAAAAAAAGGAAAACAAGAAGTATAAAAGCTACCTGAGCAGCATCGTCTGCTTCTTCGTCCCTTGTCAAGAACCACTGTAGATGGTGCTGATTTCCAGCAAGATCTCGAGACAGCAGGCCCCTCAAATCTTTCCCTTCTTCCCGTCGAGCAAACACCACCAAAGCCCAACCTGCGAAGCTATTGCTACCTATCAGACCCCTTCTAGCCTCCTCCCTACCGCAGCTGAAGCAAGCGGCCGAGAAACTGCTTGAGCAGCTCCTCGCTGCACCCACCGAGACCACGAGCCAGCTTCGCTGCTTCCCCCTTTGTTTCTTCGGTCTTGTCGATCCCCCGGAGATGCTCCCTCCGTCTGCGATCGATCCACAACCCTCAGACCTCTTACCTGCATGCGAGCCTTCATGCTCCTTCTTGCCGCCTTCGATCGTTCGCACCTGCTTTCGTTCCTTCGTTTTCCCTTCATCTGCCTTCGTTCATCTTTCTTTTCCTTTGACGATCAACAAATGACGACGAGGGAATAAAAGCCCTAAGCTCTTTCAACTTTGATGAAATGACTAAATAACTCATGCTGCAACATTCATTTTTAAAACAAGTCCCAGACCCCAAACGTTGAATCCATTTATTCAAAACAACCCCTCCTTTGGTATTTATTAACCAAAACAGTCCCATTTATAGAATTAAAATACCAAAAAACCCCTATAGTTTAGTGAAGTTACAAATCAACCCCTACAGTGTAAATTCATTACAAAACGGTCCCAAAGTATTTCAAAGTTCAAGAATTGCGGTTTTACGGTTTCTCACGACGAGTTTCTAAAAATAAACCGATTCCTTACAAATCGAACTCACGGTTCAAGGATGAGCGCTTACGACCCATTTTTAATATTTACAATTATTTTCCCGGGGGGGGGGGGGGGGGGGGATTACATGTTCCCGTATACTGCGATTATACAAACAAATTATCATTTTATGCGAAAATACAATAAGTCTAGTTTATAAAAACGTTATTTAACAATGTAACATATTGTTACAAATAAAATTTTCATGTATATATTATAGTTATTTTATCATGAAATAACTACTCCACACAAAAAATACTATATGATACAAAAATATATGATTTATGTGACATTGTATGTCATAAAAAGCACGTCATAAAAACTATTGTAGTATTTCACTATTTCAAGGATTCAAACTATTACCATGTATATATATTTATTTGTTAAATACACGAAGTTTATATGTGTATATATATTCATTACTTTGGAACGTACATCTTTATAAAAGCGAGTACATTACACTTTTACATACATACCAAGTATACTCGGCTTTTATAAACTTTATACAATGAAAATTTACTACACATAGTGACTTATCCAAAATTAAGGTAGGGCTGAGAGTTATTCACATACTTTAGTTAAGGGATTTTTAGTGAGACTATATTCATTAGCTGAGTCTAAACACATAGCATACCCACACTACTCTAAATGTTAATCTTCGGAGCAAGATACATATGTATAGATCTGTATGGGGTTGACATCCCCACCTGCGGTTGCTAGCTATAACCTCGACCGATCAGTCGAAGCGGGTGATAAGTGTTTATTATTATTACTACAATGTTCAATGAAGCGTTGTAGGGGGCACATTCAGTCACTTATATTGCTTATAGGACTCACTATAAACATTAACTGAAATCTCTCTCTCTCTCTCTCTCTCTCTCTCTCTCTCTCTTTCTCTCTCGCTACAAACCATGGGCTTTGTTGCCTTTAAAATTAATTTAAGTATGGATTTACTTGTGGTCTCTCTTTTACTACAAACCATGAACCTGTTTCTTTCAAAACTATTTGAAGTATGGATTTATTTATGCAACAGTACAATTTAGTTTCCAAGTATATTCAAGGATTCTTTACAAACATAGTTTTAGGTATGGATTTACTTGTATAAAGATACATTTACTTGTATAAAACGAGTTTGATCTTGGTTCGACAAAGTGGTGGGGGTAGGGGTTCAAGGGGATCACATCACAGTATTGTGTAATAATTGTCTTGAAACCATCATCCCTTATTTATGAGATAAAATCATGATTTAATGTTGATTGGGTTAGCATACATATTTAATATAGTGTTGCATATTATGTATTATTTGATATGCAGCACATTTTCATAATTAGCCCATCTAATTTTAATCAACCCTTAAATGTATTTTGTGTATATATTTGAATGAAAAGGCAATACGCCGGTTTATGGGAAAATAGCAATCAACATGGCATCAGGCTAAAAAATTCCAACTCTAATCGATCCTCTCTTCCTACAACGTCTTCTGTCTTTCCCTCCTCCCTTGCATCTTCCTGCTTTTGCCATTCTACACCATGTTCGATGATGAGGGCACTCCTGCCAAACTCAATCCTATTGATCGCATCTATGGTAGCACCAACATAAAATCATATGTGCCTCTTCTTCTTGATCTAGACCAACTGAATTATGACTCCTGGAAGGAATTATTTAAGACTCATTGTCTTGGATATTCAGTTTATGATCATCTCACTGGTGATAACTCCAACCCCAATGATCAAGAATAGGTGAGGGTAGATAACCTTGTTAAATAATGGATCTACGAAACAATTCAACCTATCAACCTTGGGCTCAATCTGCGACAACCCAACATCATACTTTGCTAACTACTAGATAACCACCAAATCCATGCAATTTTTTTTAATATCCGCCATCCGATCAAGCTACTACCTTGCCTCAACCCTTCAGTATTATGAGCCTCTAAGACCATGGAAATTCAGATTGGTACATTTGTTGGAATAGTGTCTAAGGCTGCAACTATATTAGGCAAATATTTGATCCGGTTGTGCATGGTCCTTTTGGGTTGCCTTCACCATAGCAACTTGATGGATGATTTGTTAAGAGAGAGTAAATATTATAAGGAATAATATATAGTTATTTGATTAATATAAGTCATAGATTAATTGGAATTAATTTGGTGACTTAAAGAGATTAATTAAATAAGAGGGTATAAACTGTCAATTGTTTGATAGTTACACTTTAGACTATAAATCCTTATCCAAGATAGGATGGACGATTTCTAGGGCTTGGATAAGCCAAAATCGTCCATAGGGTTATCAAGGAAAGGATATGGATCAACTTAAAGTATAAGTTATCCAATTAGGGTTAAAGTTTGTAATCCTTAAGTAGTCTACAAGTATAAATAGACCCAAGGGGTGAGGGAATTCGACACACCATCTAAAGTAGAGATACTCTGGCCGAATTCCTCCCCTCTCCTCTCTCCTAAATCATCTTTCTTGCTATTGGTGTTTGTAAACCATTAGAGGAGTGACATTTGTGACTCTAGAAGCTCCAAGACAACAAGATCAACAAGGAATTCAAAGGTATGGTTCTAGATCTATTTCAATGTTGTTATTTAACCTAATTAGCCATTAGAAGTCTTGGATTCAAAGCATGTTTAATTAGAAAGCCTAGATCCGAGCATTAGGGTTTTGCATGCGCACATAGGAAAGTTCTTATGGCTAAAACCCATCAGTGGTATCAGAGCCTAGCTTGGTTTTCTTTAAATTGTTGCTTGATTAACTGAAACAAACCTGCAAAATTCGATTTTTGGTTTCTGAGTCATGGACTCGGCGAGTTCCAAAGTGGACTCGGCGAGTCCCTTTGTGTACTCGGCGAGTCCGGGCGTCAGGATTAGGCAAAACCGGGATTTTTTCATGTTTATCTTATGGAAACTTACCTTAATCATATTAGATCAACCCTAATCCGATTTTTTGATATATATGACTATAATCTTGATCTAATTAAAGATATTTATCATCTAATAAAATATTTAATTTCCTTATATGATAATTGATTAATTATTTTGATAATTATCTTAAAAGAAATCTTGGATAAATCAAATAAAGATAATTAGGATATTAATTGTTAATTGGAATTATTTGTTATTTGATCCTCCATGTTTTAAATGTTTAAAACTTGCCCTCAAGTTTTGAAATTTATATTTGTGATTAAAAGTTTTAATTTAGACAACTTAAATTTCAAACCCTACGTTTTAAAAGGTTTAAAACACAACCTTATACTAATATGATATTACTAGAATAATATATATATGTATAACTAAATGCTAGTCTTACCGTTAGTAGGCCTCATTCACGAAGCCGATCTATAAGGTGGGTATAAGGTTGCGGCCTATAAAATGGCGCTTAATGGGTGTACACTCACACCCACCGCTTGCTTGATTGGTGGAGGGTCGTTAGCCGAACGGGTAGGATAGGGCAACCTCATCCTCTCATTAAAAGTATAATAAGAAATACAAAGTAACTACACGTTTTAAAAATTTCCCAATCTTAGTTACTTTAGGAAAAGTGAATTGATGCAATCCCATGAAATTACACTTTGCACCCTTGCTAAGAAGTTAGTGGAGCGTGTGTGGTTTACCGGCACACTAATTGGTTCTAAGCAAAGGTGGCAAAGGGTGATTCATTGTTTATCATAGTTCGATGGAGCGTGTGTGGTTTACCGGCACATCGAATAGGTGATCGTTACAATGAAGGCACCATGTGAATTTGCATGGTAATTCACACCCGCTTTGTGATCCTCGGCATCCCAGTCACAAACAAGAGGGGCATATCGAGATTTAAACATGCCATTGAATAGTTTCAATGAATCTCATCCGAACCTAGGAATTCTCAATACACTTAGGACTAATAGTCTAGGTTTTGTAATGGAGAATTAGTGAATCGTCATTCACTTACCTTCAATTTATTTTCATGTTAGATTACGGCATCCCTTTTCTAATATGTAAATGTTATTGTTGGATCCTAACCCTAATTTTTCTTATTGGGTGATAATTAGGGATTCTTATTCTAATCTATCTTTGTCCTTTCTATAGATGTCGAACGCAAACAACGCTGCTGCTAGTTCTTTCACGTTGATGAGCCTTTGCCAAAAGGTCACCTTCGATGGAACGAACTTTAGCGAATGGATAAGATACATTCGCACCATTGCTCGCTATGAGGATAAGGAGTATGTCCTCGATGAAAAGCTTGAGAAGATCAACCCCGAAATCGCTACTCCGGCCGAAATCACCGCTTTTGAGACTCATGAGCGAGATGCAACGAAGGTACATTGCATCATGATTGCCACCATGAACTCCGAATTCCAAAAGTCCTACGAGGACATGTATCCATACGAGATGCATCAAGACTTATTGGAGAGATACCACCAAAACGCGAGACAAGAGCGTTATGAGATTTTCACTAACATGATCTCCGCTAAGATGGGTCATGGAGAATCTCTTACCGTGCACCTGCAAAAGATGCAAAGGTATGTCGATCGCCTTCGCAAGTTAAATGTTGACTTTGGGGAAGACTTGGCGATCGACATGGTGCTTCACTCTTTGCCTCCGATGTACAACCAATTTAGGATGACCTACCACATGAACAAAGAGGAGGTCACCCTAAGCAAACTCCAAGGTCTTTTGAGAGTCGCTGAGAGCAACTTCAAAGACAAGTCTGTTGCACCTACTCCCAATCCGTCTGCTGCTCCTGTCTTGGCAATTGGTCAAGGAAAGGGAAAGAAGAGGAAGGCTTCATCAAAGAACTATCGCAAGGTTAAAGCCCGAGATGGTGCCTCTTCTAGTGGGACCAAAGTTGATCCCTCTAAGCCCTATCCTAACCCGAAGGAGGCAGAGTGCCACCACTGCCACAAGATAGGACATTGGAAGAGAAGCTGCCCAGAATACCTGCAAGCAATCAAAGAAGGAAAGATCAAGCCATCTTTCGCAGGTATATACACAATTAAATCTAACGATTCTAATCATGCTATTTCTTGGGTTCTTGACACCGGTTGTGGTTATCACATT